TCTCCCTTCTACTCTCCTCCTCCTCTCTCTGCCTCCCCATCCTTCTCCTCTCTCTGCCTCCCTTCCTCCTCATATCTCAGCCTCCTCTCTCCTCTCTCCTCTTCCCCTCCACCACCCCTCCTTCTCATATACTCACTACAGCAGCTGCTCCACTGAACGGTGTTCCTCCCTTCCACTCCTATCCTCCTCTCTCAGCATCCCCTCTCCCCCACCCCTCATCTCCTCAACCCCCTCCTTCTGTACTCACTACAACTACTGCGCCACTAAACGGTGTTTCTCCCTTCTACTCTCCTCCTCCTCTCTCTGCCTCCCCATCCTTCTCCTCTCTCTGCCTCCCTTCCTCCTCATATCTCAGCCTCCTCTCTCCTCTCTCCTCCTTCCCTCCACCACTCCCTCCTTCTCATATACTCACTAAAGCTACTGCTCCACTGAACAGTGCTCATTTACTTCTACTCTCCTCCTTCTCTCTCAGCCTTCTCTCTCCCCACACCTCATCTCTCCTCCTCCTTTCTCCTCATTCCTTCTCTCATCCACCTCCTTCTCATATACTCACTACAACTGCTGCTCCACTGCACGGTGTTTCGTAGCTGGTTGTTTCTACGGAATCCTCTGAACTGTGCGTCTGCATGTCTGACGTCATAGCAGCAGCAGACGAAGACCACCAGCAGCAGAATGGCCGCCGTGGTGTGTGAGTCTCCTCTCATTATCCTCTTCTTTCTATTCCTTTTCCTCTTCCTCTTCTTCTTCTTCCTTCTCCTTTTCTTCTTCTTCCTCCTCTTCTTCCTCCTTCTCCTCCTCCTCTTCCTCCTCCTCCACCTCCTCTTCGGTTAAGCGACAGTCAGAAAACTCCGTACACGTAACGGTCACTGACCTCTAGAAGAAGTGTCCGTTATAGGCAGGTATCCGTTATGCAGAGGTGGTTTTTACTGTATACCTATCACTGAAGGGAAACGCCTGTGGGTGTCCTTTATAGACAAGGGTGTCCGTTCTATGAAGTTGACCGCTAACACAGGTTTGACTATACGTCAATTATAGATAGATGTCCGCTCTACGAAGGTAACCGCTAACATAGGTTCGACTATACGTCCTTTATAGACAGGTGTCCGTTCTACGGAGGTGACCGCTAACGAAAGTTTCGCTCTACTATAGCAAACAATCGTCGTCGTGGCGCATGTAGACACAACACAACAACCGACACAACAAACACGACTCCAGCTCAGCGCCTGTCTGCTCAGCTGTCCTAACGTATCAACGTGTCTACCTGTCTACGTGTCGACGTCACCTCTCTCCTCTCTCTCTCTGCCTCCCCTCCTCCTCATCTCTGCCCTCTCCTCCTCTGCCTCCTCTGCTCTCTGCCTTTCATCTCTCAGCTCCTCTTCTCTCTGCTCCTCTTCCCCTCCACCACCCCTCCTTTATGCGGGCGTGCATTCGTGCGTGCGTGCGTGCGTGCGTGCGCGCGTGCGTGCGTGCGCGCGTGCGTGCGTGCGTGCGTGCGTGCGTGCGTGCGCTCATGCGTGCGTTCATGCGTGCGTGCGTGCGTGCGTGCGTGCGTGCGTGCGTGTCTACCTGTACTAGGATCCTGAGCTCCTCTGGTACTTCGTCTACAGTCGCTGACACCGTCAACTGTTCTTGCTCTCCGGCCTCTAGCGGACATTGTAAGGACTCCGCAAAGCACACGTCATCGTAGGTGCTGTGCAGTCAAACAACGAAAAAACACATGAACATCCGCTACACACGTCACACGTCATCGTAGGTGCGACCAACGAAAAATAAAACATAAACATATAAAACGAAATGCAGCCACGGTTTACGAACATGTTAAAAGGCTTATCAATATATATGTTCTCAACTTATAACGTTTCCAAACTAAGCAAATAAACAACAAATTGTTGAGATACATGGTGTCATGCACGTAACAGACGTCTGTAGTCGAAATGTTCAAATTCGCTCATTACTCATTTCATAACCATCGAAAGCTGTGAGCGACATTGAAACAATATTTTTTATTCGGAACCCAGCGGATGCATACGAAAGCGCTGCCGCTGATCAACATGTAGGTAAAGGGTTTAGAATGTCGTTCTGACACACAACTAAATCCTAAACGTTGCCTATAGCACGTAGTTGTAGTCTAAGTGTAAATTATGTGTTAATGGTGCCAGTAAATACCAGGCAAACCGATTCATTGATACACGCTATATGCGTTTTTGCACCACATATCAGCATTTATCATTATTGTCTGGGTGCTGTCTCTGATGATCGTAAAAACGTAGTTTGAATGTTCCTCGAACTATTTTAGATTTCACTTTAGAATTTGCTATCGCTGTTTTTAGCGTGATGAAATGCTACATGGAACTGATTTAGAGCATATTTCAAGCCAGAATATGTTATACAAGCTAAGTATAATAACCCAAAAAACCGTTTTGGTCGAGTTGCGTTGAAATTCGAAACAGCGCGTCAGAGGCTATTGCATTTACCGCTGGCCCCCACCATCGCTGCTACGTTAACCGCATGCACCCACTATTGCTGTTACGTTAACGGCCTGCACCCACCACGATCCGATGGACTGTATGCAGGGCAGCGGGATCTCGAGATTGGCTAGCAGCGGCACCATCTTGCGTATGACGACGGCCATCTTGAGTCGGTTGATCGTCTGCGGGATGCTGACGTCAGCGGTGACGGTGATGGTGCCGGGCATGCGCACTGGATGCGGCGTGATAGCGAGGCTGCGCACCGTCATGGTCGCGTCAGCGTCACCTGGTGGTGAACACACGCATTACTGATAAACGGGCGGGTGGCAATAACAATGATGATGATGATGATGATGATGATGATGATGGTACTAATACTACTACTAAGTACTACTACTAATAATAATAATTTTTTTCCCCTCCCGCCTCCTCCCCTATAATCACTACTACTCTACTAAACGGTGTTCATTCTCTTACACTTCCTTTCTCTCTCAGCCTCCGCTCTCCTTCTCTCGTCCTCTCTCAGCCTCCGCTCTCCTCCTCTCGTCCTCTCTCAGCCTCCCCATCTCCTCCCCCACCTCTCCTCTACCGTCCCCCTCCTTCTTATATACTCACCACAGTTGCTATTGTACTGAACACTACTGCTACTGTTACATTGAACGGTTTATATTCCTATCCTCTTCTCACCGCCTCCCATCTCCTCCCCTCCTCCTCCACTACCCTCCTTCTCATATACTCACTATAGCTACTGCTCTACTGAACGGTGGTCCTCTCTTCCACTCTCCTCCTCCTCTCTCTGCCTCCCCCTCCTCCTCTCTCTGCCTCCCCCTCCTCCTCTCTCTGCCTCCTCTCCTTCTCATCTCTCAGCTTCCTCTCTCCTCTCTCCTCTTCCCCTCCACCACCCCTCCTTCTCATTATACTCCACTACACCAGGCTGCCTCCAGCTGAAACGGTGTTCCTCCCTTCCAGCTCCCTATCCTCCTCTCGTCAGCATGCGCCCTCTCCCCCACCCCTCATCTCCTTCAAACGCCGCCTCCTCTCTGTTACTCACAATACAACTGACTGCGCGAGCCAACTAAACGGTGTTTCTCCTTCTACTCTTCTCCTCCCTCTTTCCTCCCCATCCTTCTTCCTCTCTCTGCCTACCCTCCTCCTCTATACTCAGCCTCGCTCTCTCGCTCTATCCACCCCCCTCCTTTCCCTCCACCATCCCTCCTTCTCATATACTCACTAAGCCTAGCTGCTCCACTGAACAGTGACTGCATTACTTCTACTCATCTCCATTCTCATCTCAGCCTTGCTCTCTCCCCACACCTCATCTCTCCCTCCTCTCTTTCTCCTCAATTCACTTCTCTCATGCCACCATCGCTACTCATATACTCACTCAACTGACTGCTCCACTGCCACGGTGTTTTCTAGTCTGGTTGTTCTTCTACGGAATCCTTCTGAAACTGTGCGCTCTGCATGTCTGACGTTCATAGCGCAGCCAGCAGACGAGACGCACCAGCAAAAGCGATATGGCCGCCGTGCGTGTGTGAGTCTCGCTCTCATTAATCCTCTTTCTTTCTATCCTTTCTCTTCCTCTTCTTTTTCTCTTCTCCTTTTCTTCTTCTTCCTCTCCTTCTTCCTCTGTCTCCTCCCTCCTCTTCCCTCCTCCTCCACCTCCTCTTCGGTTAAGCGACAGTCAGAAACTCCGTACACTAACGGTTCACTGCGACCTCTAGAAGAGTGTCCGTTATACGGCAGTATCCGTTATCGCAGAGGTGGTTTTTACTGTATAACGCTATCACTGAAGGGAACGCCTGTGGGTGTCCTTTATAGACAAGGGTGTCCGTTCTATGAAGTTGAACAGGCTAACACAGGTTTTGACTATACGTAATTAATTACGATAATGTCCGCTCTAACGAAGGTACCGGCTTAACATACGGTTCGACTATACGTCCTTTATAACAGGTGTCCGTTCTACGGAGGTGACCGCTAACGAACAGTTTTCGCTCTAACTATAGCAAACAATCGTCAGTCGTCGGCGCAATGTAGACACAACACAACAACCGACAACAACAAACACGACTCCAAGCTCAGCGCCGTTGCCTGCTCAAAGCTGTCCTAACGTATCAACGTGTCTACCTGTCTAACGGTGTCGACGTCACTCCCCCACCCCAACCCCACCGCCCCGCCGCCGCGTGTCCGCGGGGGTCTTTGACACATTAAACATACTTACATGTCCCCCTATCTTCAATGATGGTGTCGCGCTAGTAAGTGATAGGAAGGGAGAGAGAGCGGGTCTTTGACACATAAACGTATACTTACATGCCCCCACCCCACCTTTAATTGTGGTGTCGCGCTAGCAAGTGATAGGAAAAGAGAGAGAGAGCGGGTCTTTGACACGTATAAACACATACTAACATGCCCATCGTCTCTGAATGATGGTGTCGCGTTCGCAAGCGATAGGAAGGAAGCAAAGAGAGAGGGGTGGGGCCGGGGGTCGTAGTTGGTCGTTAGTGAGTTAGACTTGATGGTTGTGACTTGGCGGTTGTGACACGCGGTGGGGTGATTACGTGTGACGGATGGTGATTGTGGCGTGGTACAGACAGCTGGCTGCGTCTACATACATACATGTATACACCCCCGGGGGTGTGCAGCCACGGTGAAGCTAACTCTAATGAGTATGTGTGAGAGAGAGAGAGAGCGCGGGGAGAGATGGGGGACAGTGAGAAGGGAGAAAGAAAGAGAAGGGAGAAAGAGAGAAGGGGAAGGAGGATAGATAACGAGCGAGAGAAAGAGAAGGGGGTATAGAGCCAGCGAGAGAGAGAAAAAGAGCGAGAGAGCGCGCGCGAGAGGACGAGAGAGAGGAGAGAAGGCGAGAGCGCGTGCGCGAGAGAGAAAGAGAGGTGAGTGAGAGAGACAGGTCAGCGAGGGTGAGAGAGAGAGAAGGTGAGAGAGAAGCGAGCACGCAGAGAGAGAGGGACAGAAGAGAAGAGAGAGAGAGAGAGCAGAGAGAGAAGAAAGAGAGTGGTGAAACGAGAGAGAGAGAGAGCGATAGGTTAGAAAGAGAGAGGCGAGAGAGAGAGTGGCCAGCGAGAGTAAGAGACAGAGAGCAGAGAGAGAGAAAGAGAGAGAGAGGAAGAGAGAGAGAAGGGAGAGAGAGAGTGTGTGTGTGCTGAGAGAGAGAGAGAGAGAGTAAGAGAGAGAGAGAGAGTAGCGCGTAAGAGGAGAGAGAGAGATGAGAGAGGGAGAAAAAGAAAGAAAAGAGAGAGAGAGAGTAAGAGAGAGAGAGAAGAGAGAGAAGAGAGGAGAGAGAGAGAGAGAGGGAGGAAAGAAGAGAGAGAGAGAGAGAGAAGAGTAAGAGAGAAGAGAGAGAGAGAGTGCGAGAGAAAGAGAGAGAAGAAGAGAAGAGAGAGAGAGAGGAGGCAGAGAAGAAGAGAGAGAGAGAGAGAGAGAGAGAGAGCGCGGGAGGAGAGAGCGCAGAGCGAGCAGAGAGAGTCAGAGAGAGACAGAGAGTACGAGAAGGAGAACAGAGAGAGAAGAGGGGGGGAGAGAGGAGAGACTGCGTTTGCGCGAGAGAGAAAGAGAGTGAGTGGAAAAGAGACAGAGAGGGAGAGAGAGAGAGATGTGGGGGGTGTGAGCGAGGAGGCGCGCCGCCAAAGAGAGAGAGGGAGCCAGAAGAGAGAGAGAGAGAGAGAGAGAGAGAGAGAAAGAAAGAGAGTGGGTGAGAGCGAGAAAGAGAGAGAGAGAGAGAGCGAGTTAGGTCAGAAAGAGAGAGCGAGAGGAGAGAAAGAGAGAGAGAGAGAGAGAGAGAGAGAGGAGGAGAAGGGCCAGCGAGTACAGCCAGAGAGAGAGAGACGAGAGAGAAGAAGAGAGAAAAGAGAGAGAGAGAGAGAGAGAGGGAGAGAGAGTGAAAGAGAGGCAAGAGAGAAGAGAGAGAGAGCAGGAGAGAGGAGATGAGAGTGAGAGAGAGAGAGTAAAGAGAGAGAGAGAGGCGTAAGAGAGAGACGAGAGAGAGAGAGAGAGAGAAGAGAGAGGGAGAAAGAAAGAAAGAAAGAGAGAGAGAGAGAGAGAGAAGAGAGAGTAAGGAAGAGAGAGAGAGAAGAGAGAGTAGAGAAGAGAGAAGAGAGGAGAGAGGGAGGAGAAAGAAAAGAAGAGATGAGAGAGAGAGAGAGAGAGAGAAGAAGAGAGAGAAGGAGAGACGGGTGATGATCGACATCGAACTGTCGTGAACGAGTCTCAATCACAACATAACATACTCTCTGGCTAAGACCACTCTCTAACAGCACAAAACAACCATCATCAACGCATCAACAAACACCTTCATCTAAGCTCGCACGATCGGTCAGAAAATCATCTCCGACTGCAACGTTGTTCGCTTCTAATTTGCTAATAATGCCTGCTTAGTGTATGCTAACGATGCCTATTGAGGACTTTATTTCTGTTCTAGATTCTACATACATCCTACACTCTACTTTGGCCGTTAATTACGATTAACTTATTACGAAATATGATTTAACGTAGAAACAGAAGAGTGAGTCAATATCCTGGAGGAAAATGCGTAATTGAAATGCGTAAATGAAATGGAGTCTGAAGGATTCTGGCGAAGAATCTCAGCCATATTAACTGAAATCGCGAGATTGCCGGAATTGGAAATGCTCGCGAAAGGCGGGAAAATGTTGATTTATTCTCATCCGAGTTTGATGGAATGTTCTGCTTTGACGATCGTGATAATCGGAATATTGTCCGAGTCGGG